TGTTTTTAAAACAGAATCATTCTCCAACCCCCTGCAGATCGCTACAAAGCTCAGAGCTGACAGCAGTAGGTGGGGGTGGTGAAAGGGAGAGCTATATATTTGATTTGTTTGGGTTTTTTTACCTTGCAGAGGAAAATGAACTCCTACAGCAAATTCTTCTATGCCAAAACAGCCATGACACATCACCTCCATCAATGCTGACAACTTGAAATTTGATGTAGACATAATTTGCACATGACAAGAAGAATTTGTTCTCACTTATTTTATTCTCCTGTACATTCTCAAGCATGTCAATATTTGTGTTTGATATGCCCACAAACACATACAGATCACAGCAAAGACAACTACCTGTACTGCCTTCCACCAAACAATTAAAAACCCTAAAATCTCCACCACCACAACCCTTCTCAATGAGACATGACTTGGACACTGCAGTCTGCAGACAACAGAGTACACTTCCCATTTCAAAATCTAATTTACTTTTAGCAGGACAAGGCAGGCTGATCATTTGTTGTGAAACAAAGGGAAATGCTCAAACAAATGAACTGTGTCCTTCTAGATGCAGGCACATTGTTTCAGTTCTTTGGAGTCCAAATTCTCCAGGTCACATGGAGTGGCAAGCTGCTGCCAAGGCCAAGTCTGCAATGTTTAAAATCCTACTCTTTGCCTCATTTTTCCTATCACGGCTTTGTGCTGTTAAATACACCCTTGACCTCCAAGTAGTCTTAAAAGAACAGTCATCTCCATTATCTCAATCAATAAGTCTTTACAGCTGATGAAAACAAAACCAAGTAGCCCTCCTGAAAGCTGACATGGGCTCTGCACAAGGCGAGCTGCAGGGAGAGATGCAGTAGGACTGGGTGTCCTCACAGAGGAGGGGAGGTGTGCTTCAACATGCATCACCAAACCCGCATCCCGGTGTAAACCAAGCAAGCTGTTACCTTAACATGTTCAGCTTAGATGCCTTAGCATGTATTTTGATCAACTTGCTTGACTGCATCTTGTGTCATCTAAAATCAGACTCTAACACACCCTGGATTTTCTCAGCTGTCCTCCAGTCTCTCTGTGCTATACAGAGTGAATTGCCCACACAGCAGCATAAGGCAGCCCTACCTATAAATCAGCAAAGGAAAATTAAGACAACCAAAGGGCTTCAGAGATACACTTTTTGTTTTCCTTTGCACACATTGAGACATTGAGTTCAGCAGCAACATTTTTACAAGGGCATGTAGTGATAGGACAAGGGGGAATGGCCTGAAGGAGAATAGGTTTTAGATTAGGTAGCAGGAAGAAATCCTGTACTGTGAGAGTGGTAAGACACTGGAAAAGGTTGCCCAGAGAAGCTGTGAGTGCCACATCCTTAGGAGTCTTCAAGGCCAGGCTGGATGGGGTTTTAAAGCGATCTGTTCTAGTAGAAGGTGTCCCTGCCCATGGCAGGAGGGTTGCAACTAGATGATCATTAGGGTCCCTTCCAACCCAAACCATTCTATGATTTAAAAGACTGAATTAACAGTTAGCACACTGGAGCCATGTAAGAATGGCAAGGAGAGAGGAACACTAGATCTGGGAGATGTGAACTCCTCTAACAGTAAGATAGCATCTCCTATAATCACAAGATCCAGGGAGCAGGTTACCCACAAAAAAAAATCTTTCTATGCCATTGCCCATGCAACTTAACTAAACTGAACAAGAAGCTCCAACAAGACATTCTGGATTTGGCTGCTGGCAAGAACACAAATGAGAAATGCTTCAGCAGCTGGGAAATATGGGGTACCACTAACACGGCACATACTGCTTAAATAAACCAAAGCAGAACTTTCATATAAAAATTTATTTATTTAGACATTGTTTGGGGGCAGTCTGTGTGTAACTCTGAAATGAGATTAATATATTTTTCATCACAGGAGGATAGAGGGTTTGAATATAGCATGACAAAGGGATTCTTTGAACAAACAGCAGAGGGGAAGGCATACTGCTTGTAGTGACGACATGCTGTAGGTAAAGACAAGGGCAGTCCCAGGGAGAAACAGGACACCCTGCTTGGATGTTAACCAGCACAAACTAATAAGTGGCTCCTTTCAACAGTTTCTTTCCCATTTAAGAACTGCACACAAGCAAGAAGATGCAGGAACAGAGCTTATATGTAACACTGACCAGAAAGAAATAGCTGGTTTAACATTCATCAAGTGATTTTTTTTTTCTATACTAATTTTCTCCTTACTGAGCTGTATTACTGTCTTGTTATTAATGAGAGAGCAATGAATGTATGTCCTTCTGTGTTGAAAGGCAGCCTGCTCAGCTGGGACATTTCAAGAGCATACACTCTGGTGTGCTCTGGTAGGGATCCCCATTAAAATCATTGAGCAAAAGCATGCACACATTTCTTAATTCAACATGTCATCCCTCTAAGGCCTGGGGACCTCACTTCAGCAAGTATTCTAAAAACATTTTTTCAAAGCTGAAATAAGCCAACACAACTGACGTGTCCATAATAATCTTGTTTCCTATTACCAACTGACACTGATTTCTACCATGTAGTGGTCTGTTTAATAGCCAGAACATGGTAAATATAATTTAAATAGAGTTTATGGTTGTATTATTTTTCTGTCTGGCTTTGATCTTATTTTTCTCTTTGTTTCACCATTAAGATCCTGTTTCACTGGGATTTGGTTGGGTTTTTTTTACTTAAAACCAAAGTCCCTTTATTTAACAGCACTTGTCACACAGTCCCTATTGCAACGAAACAATACAGTCCCTGTCAATATCCCCAAATGCAACAAATCATGAACTGCTCTATCTGCCACAAGGTAAGCAAAAAATTAAACATTTCCAAATGCTCCTAGCAATGCATCCATATTTCCTCTACAAATTCCTCATTTCCAATGTTGTTGCAAAACCAGCAAATTCAAAGTTCTTGAAAGAATTAATAGTAAGACTGTTTATGTAATTACCCCTCTTCCCTCAGCACTTGGGAGATCTCAATTAGTAAGCCTATTGGACACCATATTTTAGAAGCAGTCAGAGAAAATTAATAACTCTAACAGATTTAAGGAAACATAATTCATATGCACAAACTTGGGGGGTTTTGTTTTGTTTCTTGGGGTTTTTTTTAAACACACATGAACGGGTGTTTAAAAAAACCACCCACAGCTGTAAAAGGCTGATTGGAGAAGGAAGCTGACTGTCTTTCTCCAAGTCCACTGAAAAGTAAGAAAACTGCTGCCAACTTGCACAACTTTCCAGAGACAGGATCATTAAATGCACCAACTGCAATTCTCAGGAAAGCAGTAGGGAACCTTTTGCTGAAGGTTTTTCAGAGACACATTTGGTTTGGTTTGGTTGGCACGAACTTCATGTCGCTGGAGGCTAGGGGGATGACTCGCCAGCTGACCAGGCAGGTCTGTCTTCATGATCCAGAGCAAGACCAGAGGGGACAGATGTGACTTAGGGGAAGACCAGGAAGCTTGCAGATCCTGGGTCAAGCAAGTAACCATTTATAGAGTCCAAAGGGCTTTTGAGGAGAAGGTGCCAAGATGATACATGATCACCACATGACCAGCACAGAGGGATACTGCAAAATCACCAGTGACCTCAGGATGGCCTCAGGATGAAGAAGGGTTTGGGAGTTCTACCTAAGAGGCTCCACCTAGGAACTCACAGGGTGCCACCATCACACTGCAGCTGTGCAGGACCACCACCTGTGATGCCGCAGCTGCTGCTCATCACCAAAGCTCTTCCTTCCACCTGCTACCACTGCAGGTTTTGTGGCCACTTTTGGACAAACAGTTGTGCTAGTTTGGTTTAAGAGAAGAGCTGTATAATATCCCAGTCAAAAAAAACCCTATGTCTTGTCCTGGGACTTGGGAGAGAGTTCCACTCAAAACTAAATAAATTAAAACAAAAATAAAATTAAATAGCGTAAAAGAATACAAGGTCATTATTATTTCAAAGCCACTGAAATCATGGCAGAGGTATCAAAGTAACACAAAGTACAAGATTTAAATGATTTAGAGTAGAGTATTTTGGAACATGTCCACTTGGAGGTTAGAGGGTACAGGAGGACAGGCGTACAACCAATACCTGACCTCCATCTTCTGTCCTGCTTATAGCCCCATGCATTAATTACAAAAATTACAGATACGTGCTGCTTATAATTGCTATTACTAATAGCAACATAACAAAACTGATATTCCTAAGATACAGTCACAACCAGAAGTGAAATAGAATACTGAGGGATGTCAGTATGGGCAGAACAAAACCGTTTGGAAAGCAGAAGTAACATAACATACGTCTATTGCACCTGTGTATAAAAAACCTTACTGGAAAATGTATCACCCATCCAAAAAGCTGAATTGTAGTTTAAAAATAAATTATTGCACAAGAAACAAAAGCAAAAGCAAAGTTTGATTTCAGTGTACGTGACTGAGGGCAAAGCACTAAGAAAGCAATTCCTGTGATAAACTCTGGAACTCTGTATGCAATATTTATGCACTGAAGAATAGCAACTAAAGATATTTTAAATATATACCTACAAAGGTCAGTAATCTACCAAATGATGCTGATCTCAGCACCAATAAAACTAATAGGAATTACAAACAGAAAATTTTCTTGATACAAACATATAATTACCAACATATAATTTTCTTGATATTCTTAATAGCATATAAAAACTTTTACACAGACAGAGCATAGAATATTTTGTAGAATCTTGGAAAACAAATATTTAATTATTCTTTCTCAGAGGCCACATATGATCCACATGATTATAACCACAATGTCCGTAGCATAAACTCCCTTGGAATAACTAAAAATTCACATGTTTAGTATCCTGGGGAAAGTGTGTCACAAATCCCTGCTAGTTCTGAGAAAAATATTATTTACTTTCTCTGTCTCATACTCCCTTGATATCACACTGCAGATCAAGTTTCCAAAAAGACTGATTTCTGAGGTAACCAGACATATTTGACATACATGGATGCACAGAAGGAGCCAATACTCACAGCTAAAGATGCCTGGAGGTGGATGCTCTGTTACAAGCAGGCAGTTCTCTTCATCACTGTTATCCCCACAGTCATTCTGTTGGTTACAAATCAGTGAACCAAGATACAAGCATTTACCACTGGCGCAGGTGAATTTGCACTCTGAAAGGCAAAGAAGAAACCAAAACAAAAATTTGTGAGAAAATTTATGCCTACCCTTCTTCAGTGCTAAAATGACAATCTTTTTCAAGCAGATGCTATACTGGTAGGTGGGTCTTTGGCATTTCAACACCAACACAAACAATTTTGTCCTTACAGCATTTATATATTGTATAAATATAGACATGACACATTCCTGATCACCAGTATCAAACCATTGGTAAACCAGATTTGCCACTTGGGAAAATTTACCTTTTTTAATAATATACAATATTTTTTGCAGTTCATGTTGATTATAGTTCATTTTGGACAAAGACTGTGTTCTCCTATATGTTTGTGTGGCATCTTGCATATCTGGGGCAAGACAGCAGTATTAATAAAAATAATAATTGTCCCACATTTAAAAAAAAAAAAAATCTTGCATCAGCTGTAAGGCAACAGTATAGTTTGTAATCAGGAACAATCCTGTTCAGACACAGAAAATTATTCCTTAACTACCTTCCCAAAGCCAATTTGCCAGTCTCCCACCTAATTACAGTCAAGCACTTGGTGTCTGCACATTAAAATCCCACATGCTAGTGTTCTTTTAAAGTTAGTAAACTTCTAAAATGCCTATAACATGTCTGAATGCTAAATGCAGGCATGCTGTAGCTTTTACATTTGATTTTTACAAAAAAAAAAAAAAAAAAAAAAAAAAAAAAAAAAAGGAAAGCAGTTTCCCCTAAATATGATTCTGTCATAAGAACAATTCCTATGAGACCAGGTATACCTTATAGTAAGTACTGGAGATGTACTTAGGAAATGTTCACAAAAATATACACACAGTTATGAAAAGCTTTCTCACTAGGATTGCTCCAAAGTAAAATACACGTACAGAACAGAGAACACACTATATCTAGACAAACTAGAATTTAATGATTACACCACTAGTATATTGACAAATTCTGGTGATTGTCATTCACAAGCAGAGGCAAAAGCAGACAGAATTAGAAACTCTCACAAGCAGTTTATTAAAGGAGTGCCATTCCCTGAACCCTGGGCTTCCCTAAGACTACAGTATGGGTTGTCTGATTCTGCTTCAGAGAGATGATTTCTGGTCCTTCCCAGCAAAGAGGAAGAATTTGTTCATCTTCAACAGTATCAGCAAAAGACTTTGCTTTAATCTTAACTTAGTCTGAACTGAGACAACAGGACCTCCCATTCTAAAAGTCCCTAAATCAGTTACCGATATGTGACACTTACATGTGTCTGTTGTGTAATGCAAGCATGGTAATAGCCAAGGAGAGGAAAAAGAAATTGAGAAAGGGAACAAATTAATTCTCATTTTTCATTTGCTTTATAGATAAAAGCAATTTGCAGACTTCACTCTGAACACTTTTCAAGAGTATTAATGATGTTTTGGTACACGTACCAGCAAGAACCTGCTGCAATAAAAAAATGTATGCATAAATATGTGTAACATATAAAATGTTACTCAGGAATATAAATAGAAGGTATGAAAAGCAAGGAAAACAAGCATTTCCTGTGGGGGAAAAAATGATCTATTTTGCTTGGTGAAAGTGTACTCATAAAATAAGTATTTTCCTAAATGAGGTCCTCAAATTTAAGCTTTTTTTCAGTCCAACCCTGCAGTCCCTGACCTGTTAAAATTGTAGAATAAAATACTGTACAAACAAATTATTTTCTTCTCTTTGTTACTCTGTTCTTCTCTGCAAGAACAAAGAACTGAAGAGGCATTGAAGGGCTTAGATTCTTTCTGAGTATAGACTATTAAAAAAATCATAACGAAATGAAGTAAGCCTTTGAAACCCATGGAACTGAAAAGGTCATTAACAATTACTTCTGGAAAGTATTAGTAATCTGATATATTAGCAATCTGATAATTACAATGCTTTAGGACTCATTTCTGCAATTTCATGAAGAAACTGGAACAAGAAATGAACAAATCTGTCTTGGAAGGTTAGAAAAGTCACCTAGAAAGGATTCAAACTTCCCAGGTATCTTAAAGGAAGAATATCACACAGGGTTAAATTAGAGTGGTAAAGAACATAATGCTTCTATTAGAAAGAATCAATCACCATATTGCAGTAAGAATATGTGGAATGCTACTTTGGCTAGCTTTTACTGCTTTCCTGTGCCTTTGTGTTGAGTCCTAATGTAATGCTTTCCATGCTTCCCCCATGGCTGATATAAAATGCTCAAGCAAGATGTCAAGTCAAAAGCAGTTAAAGCTAAGAACTCAAGGTGTCTGTTTGTCACCAGATTATACGGTTTTCACACAGAAGACTAGACGAAGCATTACATTTTTCATAGCTGTATTAAAGTCTTGAAAGTTCTGGGGTTTAACTAACATTATCATAAGAGCACTAACCAGAAGAAAGGATTTGTGATTTAAGGTGAAGGGGGAGGGTTGTCATAGATACAGACCACACTGAAATTCAGAATCAAAAAGCAGACTCAATCAACTTTTCTTGTTAAATATTATGGCTACTTCCTCATTCCCTCCTCACACATGTGAAAACAGCCATTGTGAAGGTGCATTAAAAAAAAAGAGCAATGAGGCCTCTTGTCCCCTTTTTGATGTGCCCACATTGAGGTTGCTCACAATACCACAGGAATTCTGTGCTGATTTGAAAATGGGGCGTGTTGTCAAAAAACGTGTTGCCTTCTGGTCCCCCACCAAATCTATCTGCCAAGGAAGCAGTCATCCTCTACTGGCCCTAATTGGGATGGAGTTAACTTTCTTCACAACAGACCCTGTGGTGGCTATTTGGATTTGTGATCCAAATAATCAGTGCTGGACAGTGTTGTAGGACAGTGTTGATGCCACAATAATTTTCTGGTTAGTGCTGAGCAGTGGCTGTATATCAATGGGGCTCCTCTTTTTATCACTCAGGCATCTGCAAAAGTAACATCTATATCTAACAAAATGTAATATCTAATGGAGGACACAAAATTGCAAAACTTAGTCTGCGTAATCTCACATCCTGTTGAAGTCTGAAAGAAATATTCAAAGAAAAAATGTATTGCAGGAATACAATAAATTAATTCAACAGATTATTCAATGAAAATACAGATACTTCTGACCATAGAATATACTTAGCATCTGGTATTTGCAACTTGTAAACAAAAATTCAGTACCTTAAATTAGTTTTCTTAGTGAATACATTCAAACAGTGCTTTTGCTAAAATTTGCAACTTGTAAACAAAAATTCAGTACCTTAAATTAGTTTTCTTATGCATTCAAACAGTGCTTTTGCTAAAACCAGAGGAGAACCCTTCCTTGTAAAGCAAAATGGATCAAAGTCAGGTTGAGGGAGGTAGTAGAAAGCAAATATTAGAGTATTTCCAAACTGAAATAAACCTGCAGAGGTCTGTACCAAAATGGAGTGACCTCAAAACACTCTGACCAGGGAATCCAGACCAGTCCAGACTAAACCACTGTGCCTAATGACACACCGGAGAGCCCTTTTCAGTACAAAGTCTTGCACTTGGCCTGTCTAGACAAGACAGGGGGAAAGATCCTGCTCTGAAAACATGCCAGCATGATCCTTCTTTCATGAATAATGTTTCAAAGCTAGACAGTTTCCCTTTTCATTTTCAAATAGCAATTAGTGAAACATCAGTCAGTTGGTCAGCAAGGCTCTGACTACAGCTAAACCTGAAGCAGGATGACAGCTACTGGACGTTAAAAAATATCAACCCTTCTTATAATTATGTCTTACTATGTTCATAATTATGTCTGGAGCATACTTTTAAAAAACTATATGATACAGTGGTTCTTCAACATAAAATTTGAAAAAACGTACTTCCAGGTAGAACTTTACTATCTTGAAAAAAAATGGAATTCTAAGAATACTGTCATGAACATCTCCTATTTTTAGAAACTGAATGCAAGTAGTATAAATAAGTATATTGCACACATGTTCAAGGTAGATGCTTGTAGGCATAAAACTCTCTACAATCACCAATATACAACTGCATTTCAAATAGTTTCAAATAGTTAATTGAAGGTTATGTTTCTGTTGCTACAGCAAAAGATGGATTTGCCTCATGATACAAAAAAACTACCCTGATCAGATTTTTTACTGTGAAATGCAAGATCTGTTGTATTGGGTAGGCTTATTTTATACTTTCTGTGCCTAGCCAACAAGATAATTTTATCCTTGCATTCAACTTAATTCTTTTAGACTTCATTTACACTTGACTTCATCCATATGAACAGCATTCCCATTGTTTTGTCATCCCACTTACTGTAGGGCATTTTTAATTATAGCTAAGTGCTGTTTGTTTTTCTAATGTAAGCCCAACCATGGGCCAAGGAAAAAAAAACCAACCAAGTGTCATATTGAAAAAATATGGTGGTTTAGGCCCCTGTTACGATGCATGTCACAGCTGCTTATTTAACGGGTCTGAGATGATTATCCGACCCAGGGGCAGAATTCTCTTCCATCCATTTGAATAAAAAATAAAAAGCTCTACATGCAGCCAGTAACTCCAAACTGTTGTGACTGAACTGCAGTAACGTGGTTCAGACGCACAAAGTGAAATCCCAAGTGATGTCTGGGACTCCACTGGAGTGGAAAGGCACTCTCCCAAAATCCAGCAGACTGGCAGCTGCCCGGGCAGCTCAGCCAGCAGAGGGTGATCAAATACCCTACTGAAGTCATGTAAATGGAAGGCAAGGCTCTCTTTGCCTCCAGGTGGGTAGACCTAGATCTCCAGAATAAAGGCCTCATTTCTAATTTCTTAAGCAAAGACAACATTTTAAGTACATCATCATACTTCCTCATACTCCTGCTCATATTGCAGCATGTAAGAGCCTGAAAGAAAATGCGTTTAAAGGGCACCATCACCTGTTATAAGGATAATAAGAGGCAGAAGCAGTAAATTGGGGAGGGCGGGAAGAACCACACTTCACTAGAGATTAAAGAAATATAAACCACAAATACCAGAGTCAGTACAATAAAACTCTGTTCAGCCTCTCATAAACATCTGTCTGT